TTTGAGATTTTCAATCATACCTAACCCTTCCACCTTCCTTGTTATGTTATCTCCAAGTGTAAACTTGCCTCCACTCCGAACTTCCAGCGATATGAATTGTGCATTATCTCCAGTCATATGCTTTGAGCAACCATTGTCTAGGTACCATATGCTCTCACGAGACCTTGTATGAGAACTATCCTGCAAAAACATCAAACATTAGACCTGGGTTTATGCAACTTAAGTTTTCACACCAAATGAGTTTTCTTCTTCAATATACAGGTATGAGCTATATGTCAAATCAATCCACAATTAAGATATTTGACACCTGGAAAAGGGTTTCTTAATCTTCTATAGTTTCTCTATCTATTTATGAATTGCATAAATTTTGGATAGAAAATAGGATTTGTGAAATCTTCAAGTTTAGGTGATATCTTATTATCCTCGAGAGCTTCTATTTTTAGTTTATAAAATGAATGCATATCTTCAAAGATATGATTTGTATTATTTACTTGATACATCTTGCTCTCAATTTATTCATTATTATTTTTTATTTCTTTTTAAAGTTTTGTATAGGTTGATTTTATACTTTCATGGTACTTATTCAAATTGTCAAACTCATCAAGCAATTCCATGTGGTTGTTATCAATTAAAGCATGATCTATCCTAAGGATCTCCTTTTCTCTTTGTAGTTCCTAAAATTCTAGGTTCAGACTAGCATGTATTTTCTTTAACTTTCTATATGCATCATGTATGTGTTTAGATACATCAAAAAGTTTATTATAAGATAAGTCACATACCTCTTCTTGATCTCACTAATTAAGATTATCTGCCATTAAGCATAGCTTAGTGACTTCCTCTTTCTTTTCAGTCTCTAACGAGTCTGAAGCTGAGTCCGCCCAGAAAGCTCTTTGAAATTTCTTCTTGTCCTTCTTCACAATTGATTTTTCCTCTACCTTCTCCTTGTTAATAGTGACTTTGAGTTTTAGGCAATCTGACTTAATATGTCTAGGTTTCTTGCACTCATAACAAATAATATAATTTGAAACCTTGATATTTCTATTAAATTTACCTCGATTCCATTGCTGGCATCTCTTTTACTTCCTCTTCAGAAAGCTTCTAAACTATATAGTCATTAGTGCGATGTTGTCTTCATCCTAAGGTTTTGAGAGATCACTTTCTAACTCTTCCACTTTCAGTGATATTTTCTTCTCCCTTCATGATTCACCTACATCAATCTTTCTTTGACTTACCCCATTCTCGTAAGCAATTAGTGATCCAAAAAAATTGTGAATAGAGTAAATGTTTAAATCTTTAGACTATATATTTGTAGTTATTTTAGCATCATAAGAAGTAGGTAAGCAATGAAGTATTTTATTAACCATTTTTGTATTCATTAATTTCCTACCTAATACATGTAAAGAGGTGACTATTTGTGTGAATTTTGTGTACATGTCAAAAATGGATTCATTGGATTTCATGCGAAATAGTCCATAGTCATGATAAAAGATATTGAGCTGGATTATTCAACTTCATTGGTCCCCTCATAAGTTATAAAAAGTCTATCCCATATGTCCTTTCTACTCTTACAAGTGAAAATCTGCATGTATTTTTCAGATTTAAAAGCACAAAAAAAAAAACTATTCAAGCATTTGGCATTAAGTTATGGTAAGTCACGTTCTTCTACTGTCCAGTCCGCAAAGAGTGTTTCAACTCTAACTTTGTCAACTAATCTAGTTAGTTTTGTATACCCTTCCTAAACTAAGATCCACATACGATAATCAAGTGACTGTAAAAATGTAGACAAGTGTGTTTTCAAAAAATCAAAAGGAATATTTGAAAGTTCGTTAGGGATGTTAAGCCCTATAAAACT